TTTGTTTGGAACATATTTCTCTATTTTCTTCACTTTACCTTACTGTGTTGGTTTCTGTGCATTACATAAAAACAACCATTCTTGATGGAATTGTCTTGTATAGGAGACAAACTGTATTTTTTTTATTTTTTATTTATTTTTTATTTATTTTTAAAGATTTTATTTATTTATTTGACAGAGAGAGATCACAAGTAAACAGAGAGGCAGGCAGAGAGAGAGAGAGGGAAGCAGGCTCCCTGCTGAGCAGAGAGCCCGATGCGGGATTCGATCCCAGGACCCTGAGATCACAACCCAAGCCGAAGGCAGCGGCTTAACCCACTGAGCCACCCAGGCGCCCGACAAACTGTATTATTGATGGAATTGTCTTGTATAGGAGACAAACTGTATTATTCAGCCTGGCTCTAGCTCTTGGTTTTCTCTAAAACCTTTGTGATTTGGCTTACAGTAGTTTAGTGTGTGCCAAGACCTGTTGGTGTCACAAAGGGGAGAATTTCAGTCAGCAACTAGATGCAAGCTGATTGGAAACAAGATTCTCAGGCAGAAGATTTTGAAGTATGCAAATAAACCTCTTTCAAAGAAAGACTAAGAAAAAGGCATTTCTGTTGGCTTCTTCTTCTTCTTCTTTTTTTTTTTTTTTTTTAGACTTTATTTATTTATTTGAGAGAGAAAGTGAGAGAGAGCACAAGAAGGGGGAGCTACGGAGGAAGAAAGAGAAGCAGGCTCCCCACAGCCCCATACAGAGCTCCATCCCAGGACCCTGGGATACTCACATGAACCGAAGGCAGATGTTAAACCAACTGAGCCACTCAGACACCCCTTCTATTGGCTTCCTAAATGCTAAACCCTAGAGGGATAGCCAATTAGGAAGCATTTCTTTGCTTGCTAAGGTCCTTCGAAACTCGTGAATTCAAGCTCCACTTGCCTGCATAGCCAGGATATCAAGAGGTGTGTTCCTTGGGTGGCAGCTGCAAAAACCAGGGTGCCGGATATGTATATAAACTCCTTCCAGGATGATATTGGTAGTTTGGAGCAGGCTACAGGGAGAATGCTAAGATCATATCTATTGGATTCTCTGTTCTCTGGGGAGATGCATGTTGTATTAGGGACCTAACCCTCAGGGAGCAGTTATAAAGTATGCAAATAGACCTCTTTCAGGGAAAGACTGGGAGATTGGCATTTCTCTCTGCTCATTTTGCACTGAGCCCTGCAGGGATAGCTGATTAAGAAGTGTTTTTTTGTTTTTGTTTTTGTTTACTATAGTCTTCCAGGAATTCAAACTCAAGAACTCTGGTCCTACTGGCCACCAGAGCCAGGCAATCAAGCTGTGCATCTTCTGGGTAGCAGCTACAAAACCTGGGTACCAGACAGGGGCACAAGCTCCTTTTCAGGAGACACTGGTGACCTGGAGCAGGGCAGAGAGAGAATGTGAAGATGGTGAAGATGACACCTGCCAGCCTCCTCAGTCTCCAGAAAGAATTGCAGTTGACCCCTAGATGTGTGTTAAATTAGAAGCCTGACTCTCAGGCTGTAGCTTTTAAGATATGTAAATTGACCTATTTCAGGGGAAGACTGGGATATAGGCATTTTTTGCTTGCTACCTCTTCACTGAGCCCAGGGGACTCACAACAAGTCCTCACAAGCCCCTTAAGAGCTGTTTCTTTGTTTGCTATAGTGTTGTAGGTCTTGTGGACACAAGTCTCATTGGCTTTTGGGGCTAGGTGTTTTGGGGCCTGCCCCTCAGGCGGAAGTCTTAAAAGGCAGAGCACTCCATGTTGGATCCAAACGCTTCTCTCCTCAGGGAGAAAATGGAACTTGTTTGTTTCCTCCCAATTATATGTTGCTGTGATGGGGTAGTGTTTACAGTCAAAGCGTGTCTCAGTCTTTCTTACACATTTCAAAGTGGGGCTTTTTTTATTTATCTGATGTGTAGGAATTGTTCAATTAGATTTTTTTTTTTCTTCAGAGGGAATTGTCCTGTGTGTAGCTCTAGATGCAGTGTGTCCATGGGACAAGGTAAGGTCAGGATCCTCCTATATTATCATCTTGGACTGGAACCCAGCAAGTCTTATACTTAAGCTTACGTTTTTAACATAGAATTAATTCCCCCACTAACTACCTCTAGGTTTGTCAAGATAAGATGTTTAAGTGTAAAGCACTTTGAAAAGAGTGGGGCATTATATAAATAAAGGGATGATTGCTTTGGCTTGCCTGAATAAGTGAATTCAGAGCGGATGAGAAGAGTATGGGTCTGGGTCATCTTTCCTACTTCATGGCAAGACCTATGCAAATCTCCCTCTTGCTCAGGAAACTGCAAGTAAAGCCAATTTAGTCTAAGCATTCTATTATGAGCCAGGTGCCTTAGAAGTCTCAGTATTTGTTGTCACGTTCTTTTTGAAAGAAATAGCAAGGTGGTTGGCTTATATTCTAGTTGTTTGAGCTGCCAAATGACTCTTAAAACAAAAAACAACTTTCTTCAGCAGCACACAGTGAAGTTGCCTTTCTCCTCCCTCCCCATTCTTTCATTTTAATCCTTTATAATGTGTGGTTTCCAGACTCCAAAACTATAAACAAAACATGTCTGTTCTGTAGTTTCCATTATCTAGTGCAAATTGAAAAAAGAAACCATAATGCTTCTTAATCTTCTTTAAAAATTCCTTTTTACAAATAATTTATTTCCAAATATAGGCGTTTCTTACATGATTTGGATGTAGTAAGGTTGAATAGAGACAGAATTCATATCAACCTATTGCAGATAAGGTTTTCCCCTGAAAAACAGCATAATCAGGGTAGGCAGTTTCCCAGGATTTTTGTGATCACTATTCTGGAGATAATACTCTGCAAATAAACATGGGCATCGGGGAAAAAGTGGTTACTACCTTTGGGAAAAAAATATCTCAAAGAAATAAAGGAACACCAAAACTGTTTCTTCTTCCTCTTTCTTTCTAAAAGATGTATTTTTTTTTTCAAGCATTTAAAGAAGGTCGAATTGAACTCTATTTTTATCCTGACTTAAACTGTGCAAACACCTGGGAATTAAAACTTTTAAATAGTAAGTGGAATTTGACCCTTGTTGAATATGTAGATTTGAATATTTAGCATCATTTTTTCCTTGTAAGTTGTATCTTTTACATGTACTATAATGTCTCAAGTTAGTGTGCTAATTCCCCTGTGTAGTTTCACAAGACAATATTTTCATTTACTAACAACATTTCATAGTACATTAATAACATCAACACAATCACATTTCCCTCTGTGCCAGCTTCAGGGTTATTAGAGATGTAGGGACATTTGTTACACCAAGGTAAATATCAAATATCAGTTGAAAGAGAGGGAGAATAACAGTGCTTTTGCTGCCAGCCCTAAGTTCCTTTGAGATGTATATGAATACATATGATTTGTTCAGTCTTTAAAACATTTGCTGGTTCAGCTGTGGTGCATATGTTGGTTTTCAGACAGTTTTGGAGCATGGTGGGGGGTGATATGCATATATAAAAATCCTAGGTATAAGTTTTGAGGATGTCATTAAAGTTTGTTTAACTTTAATTTAAACATAGACCTCAAAGATATATAAATAATACTAGTTTTGATAGATTTTGGAAAAGTAATTAGAAATAGAGTAAAGCATTAAGGAAAATAGTAACAGATTTTAATGGAATTTTTCAACTAAATTCTATTCTATTTTACTTTTTCTCTAGTTCCTAATGAAAACAACAGTTCATTTATTTTTCTTAAGTTTTCTTTAAATTCCAGTTCGTGATGGGATGCCTGGGTGGTTCAGCTGGTGAAGCGTCTGCCTTTGGCTCAGGTCATGATCTCAGGGTGCTGGGATTGAGCCCCACATCAGGTTTTCTGCTCAGCCAGAGTCTGCTTCTCCCTCTCACTGTCCCTCTGTGCTCTCTCTGTCTCAAATAAATAAATCAAATCTTAAAAAAAATAAAAATTAAAAATTAAAAAAAAATTTCCAATTAGTTAATACAGTGTAATATTAGTTTCAGGCGTACCATTTAGTGATTTGCTGCATACAACACACAGTGTTCATCATTAGAAGTGCACTCCTTAATCCCCATCACCTATTTCACCCATCCCCTTGCCCACCATCTGGTAACCATCTGTTCATTCAGACTAAATTATATTTTAAATGAAATAAATTGATCATTAATTTTGTCTGGGGTATTACTTTAATTCCCTAACCAGATATTGATTTTCATTTACTTCTCTCTACTGGTTTTTTTTTTTTTTTAATTGTGTGACATTCTGAACTGCTGAATAAAGAATTGTTTTAAAGTTTAAATATTGTAACTTCTTCAACTAGGGTGCTATTTCTTAATATTTTAGCTAAAAAAGAAGAAAATGTTATATTCCTTTATACTATTTTGAAACATGAAAAATGCACTGATTTATTTTTTCTTTATAGAAGAGTAAAACTAGGGGTACCTAAATGGCTTAGTAGGTTAAGGGTCTTCTGCCTTTGGCTCCATTCATGATCCTAGGGTCCTGGGATCCAGGCCCAGAGTGTAGGGCTCCCTGCTCAGTGGGGAGTCTGCTTCCTCTTCTCCCTCTGCCCCTCCCCTGCTATCTCTCTCTCTGTTTCTTTAAACAAATAAAATCTTTTTTAAAAAGTGGAAAGAGGGGATCTGGGTGGCTCAGTTGGTTAAGCATCTGGCTTCCTCTCAGGTCATGATCCTAAGATCCTGAGATAGGAACCTGTTGGGTTCCCTGCTTAGCAGGGGACCTGCTTCTCCCTCTCTCTCTGCCTGCTGCTCCCCCTGCTTGTGCTGTCTCTCTTTCATTCTCTCTCTCTCTGTCTGTCAAACAGATAAATAAAGTCTTGGGAAAAAAAAAAGGAAAAAAATTAAAAGGCAAAGATATCTTACAAATGTATATTTTACCCTCTGTGTTTTTGCTGCTGTGGTTACATAAGAATGATTGAAAAAATGGAAAAAAAAAATCAGAAACCCTTAATACTGAATACTAGCATCTTTTGTGTTTTTTTCTTTCAGCTCTCAGGAGAAGTGATTTTGCAAATTGCCAATGAACCAGTTCTGCCCTTTAATGCTCTCGATGTAGCTTTAGAAGTTCAAAACAGCCTTAAAGGTAATTTTTCTTTGAATTATAGTAATTTTAGCAAATGAAAGATTGTTCAACTAATTTTTAATGAGCAATGGATAAAATCATATGCTATCTTATTAACTATGACAACACAAGACTCCCTGCCTGGAGAGGATTATCATGAGAGGGGCTTAGAAGAAATTTGACTGCCACGTCAATAGAAAAGAGGTGTATTTATGTGTGAGCACAAGACAAAATATCAGATTATAAAAGATGTTTCATCTACTTCCCTTTGTCAGAGAGATTTATAATTTCAAACTTCTATTATCACTTATAAGTTACACATGGAAAAAATATAGATCGGATATTTTTCCAAATAAATAAAGAAGGAAGTAGGTAAGTGAGTTTGTAGCTAACATTCAGTCAGTTCAAACAAGATTGACCCAGAAGTTTCTCCTTTGGGATTGATTTCTGAGGTAGATGCCAGATCACTGAAGTGTTGGTTCACCCTAGATTAAGGGTGACAAGAAGAGAATTATTTCTATAGTTTCTATTTCAATCCCTTCATGTTTGAATACATCTCTTTCTGCAGAATTCTAATACCATCCTAATAGTTACCTTCATTTCCCTTTTATCTACATACAAAGCTTTCAACTAAGCTTGTAATTTGTCTTCATTAACCAAATACAAAGGGCAATATAGTAATTAAAGAATGTACCCTCCTCCTATTTGAGTAACACATCTTATTGTCAGATATTTAATGTGTGATTTGTAGACATATACTTCTCAATACAAAAGTCAATATTTTAATTATAATCCTTAAGCAGTAATCCTTAGAAAATGGTCATTCTTTGGGGGGTGGGGTGAATTATTCTTAACAGCCAAATATTTCTGGTATCTATAAGTCTAATACTTTTTTTTTTCTTTTTTAAATCTTGTCTATCAGGATTGCTTCTTAACCCGGAGAATACTATAACACAACTTCCCTCCTCAATGATTCTTATTATATTGGCTGTAAAACCATAACCCTGAAAGCAGATGAGCTGTTTAGGGTTATTTGTTCCCATATGAAGTGGCCTCAGATTGCTTTGTTTTTGGTATATTGAAGTTGGTCTCTATACAGTTTCCTTTTTTTCACTTTTGTCAAGCTTCTATCATAGACTTGCTCGATGCAGGGTTTCCATGAAACTTCCAATTTGTAAAAAATGTAAAATATGAGTTTCTGTGAAACTCAGTAAATCAAAGTGCAATGAAATGACGTATGCCTATATTTTGGGCAGCATTAGAGCTCAGAAGAAATACCTGTATTTTAATGAGATAATTCAATACAATTATTCAGCCTTCAGGAGGGTTTCAGATACAGCACTGACAGAGTTGTATTTAATCAGGCTATAGCTCTAATGGGAGAGGGACAATGAATTAGATAAGATAAAACTGGGAGTACATGCAAAGGAGCACCTATGGGAGTGGACCATAGTATCTAAATTGGGCATGGAATAAAGTGAGGAAATGAAGGCAATGAGGGGAAACAGAAAGGGAGGAGGATTGACAGATGCTACTTCCTGGTGCGATCAAAGAATTGGGAGTGAGTGAGCTAGAAAGACTCCTTTGCTGGGGGCCAGAAAATGGGATTGTTAAAAATGTGATCATACAAAGAGTGAAGACATCAGTAATGACAGTGTTCAGGCAAGGACATGACCGTGGCAGTGGGATAGGAGGAAAAGAGGTTAAAGGAAAGAGAGTCTAGAATATGTGGTTATGGAAATTGCCAAGAATATAAGAAGGAGTGACAAAACCAGGAGCAAAAAACTTCAAAGAATGCTCAGTAATGCAGAGGACGCTCCTAGTGTTCTTCTAGGGAAAGGGCTACAAAGTGCCTGGGAGAAGGAACCACCATCTGAGAGGGCTATCTTGGATGCAGTATCCTTAGGGGAAAGTCAGATTTTAGTTAAAGGAAGAAGGTACAGAAAATATCATGAAAATAGGCCAGGTTAATAATTCTTTCTTTAATAGTTATATCTAAAAGTGTGTTAGTACAAGGGGGAAAAAAATAACCAAACTATAGTCATTCTACAAAGATTTCCACTGTGGGCTGATGCTACTAAGGCTAGATGAACCTCTCCCTAAAATCAGGTTTCTTAGTTGGGTGAGCCAGGAGCATTTTGGCTTCTTGCTGTTATATTGGACTGCTTCCACTCTATGTAAAGAACTTTTCCTTTGGTTGTCGGTTTTGTATGAGTTTTGTTTCTTTTAATGTGAAACTCCTTGGGTCTCCCTCTACTTTCACTCAGAAAGATGTGGGCAGACATAAGATGTGCATGTACAAGAAACATAAAACAAAGCAAAAGAAAATGTAACAAAAACATCGATATATAAGCAAAAAAAATATTTTTACTGTGACTTGAATATAAATGTTCAAAGTGACATGATTCATCACCTTTAAGCTATATACATTTTTGTGTTTAAATCATCATGATTCAAAGTTATTTGCTGTATATCAAGGTAAAACATCATTCAAATATCTGCTAAATTATAGGAAATTTGATGTACCTGTTCCATTTTGCGTACTCTGGTTATTACCTTATTACTAAAATAGAATAATATGCTATAATGTGTGAATAATGGACACAATTTATAACAATTAAATAAATATTTCTGTTTCATTTTAGTTACAGTGTGAGATAATTTCATTAGCTAAACAGAGTTCCTGTACCATGTTAAATGAAACATCTAATTTTACTGCTTAATACAAGCTTTAATTGTTGATATATTTTCTTATTTTGTTATGACAGCTAGCAGTGATTAGTCTTGAGTTCTCAATCACAGCTTAAAAAAAAAAAAAAAAAGTGACCTTCAAGGCTGGACTATAAAATACTGTTTCTCCCTACTGCAAAGAGTTTACGTATGAAGGTCTCTGAAACCCAATTGCATTTTCAACGGTGTAATTTTTACCCCTTGACAATGGGCCATCTTGTTTATTTATTACTCTAGTTTACAGTAGCAGCAGACCATTCTCTACTGTTCTCACAACCACCAGAAAGAAGGATAATTTACCAGTGAATAATTTGTTTGAGTTGATTTATTGTACGGTCTTGAAAGCTCATTTTGACTGAGTGACCTTGGCTCTTAATATTTGGTCAATGCCAAACACATAATAGTTAGAGAATGAATATTTTTATGTGGTACATGGAGATATAATGTAAATAGTGACTGATAAGATAACTGATATGCTTCCGGGGTACTTTTTGTAAATAAAAGTATGTCCAAAAAATGCACACGCAGGGCATTGGTCCTAGTGTGCAGGCAGCAGAGACAGGTGCCAAGAATAAACGAAGTAGCACCACACCCTTGAACCTGGAAGCAGACTAAGGACTGAGCATTTAACAACCTGACTAAATTTACTCTTTCTCACTTTATCCACTTTTTAATGTTTAAAACAGCACTTCAAAATAGCTAAGGGACTTTGTGAGTCTGATGCTTTCTGTTTAATATCTGCTATTTTTCTTAATTGGAATTCTGTTATTTACCATTATTGTAAAACCTACAAATGACCAAATAAAGTAAGTCACTTTCATTTGATCTGGCTATGTACACATTTATTTAGTGCAATTCAGACTCAGCAGGAAACAGGTTCTAACTGTGTGGCTTGTTGCCACCTCCTGATTGTCTCACTAAATGTAAAATGGTTGTTGGCAGGATTTCCTCCTGTTCTTTGAAAAACCGACAATGGTGATTTTATCTGACTTTTTCTCTTTTTTTATTAGCTGATAATTCATTAGTGTCAATCACTTCATTGTAGAAGGAAAGATAGTATTTCACTGTCATGATGTGACTGAGCCAAGTGCACTGTTCCTTTAGATCTGTAGTTTCGTATTTTCAATATGTGTCAGTTCTTTTCCACAATCATGTGACTGAGACCCATCTGATGTCTTTTTTTCTTTCTGAGTAATTTATGATGGATGTCCCAAATGGAAAAATTATGTATGTGCTTTATAAATTGTGTGATTCTAGTCCTCAGCCCATCTATCTCCAATCTTGATTTTAATTACCACCAACTCCAACTTTGGACTGCCCTAGAAATAGTAAAGAGTGGGTACATTAGGTACCTGGCCCTGTGTCCTCCCTAAAAAATCCAAATCCATCCATCTAAAATATAAACAATTCTAAGAAAATTTTTGTTCCCATGGAAATTCCAAATCATGTTAGATTTCTAGTAGTTTGACACAAACTGGCGTATCTGGAAGTTACCATTTTGAGTGAACAGGACTTCAAAGTATTCTCTCAGAAGTAGCTTACTTTGCTTGCTCAAATTGAGAGAAATTCAATAAGAAATTGGCCATCCACTGGGTACAAATTCCTAAAAATATGTTTAGTATCAATCCCCAGTGTATATTTTTTTTTATTTTAAGATTTTATTTATTTATTTGACAGACGAAGATCACAAGTAGGCAGAGAAGCAGGCAGAGAGAGGGGGAAGCAGGCTCACTGCTGGGCAGAGAGCAAGATATCACCAGGACTCTGGGATCATGATCTGAGCCGAAGGCAGAGGCTTTAACCCACTGAGCCACCCAGGCACCACCCCCCCGTATATTTTTGTATGTACTGTGACTACATAACTAATTAAAATTTGTATTTCATATATTGATATCCCACATCTAGTTCAAACAAGGAGATGGGACAACTGGGTCTGCAACAAATTCTGGTTGTCTCTATAGTATCAGAGTTTGTCTCCTGAAACTAGTTTTTCTTTCCTCCCACTTCTTTTTGAACTCATATTTTTATTGAATAATGTCCCTTAGTTATCATCCAGAGCATGTCATCCCTTTTGTATTCCTTAGAATTATACTTTCTTTTCCTTTATGTCCTGTGTCACAATTTGTTGTTATTCCTACAGCTTCCCTTTATCATCATTTCCTTCAGTATTCTGAGTACTTCATTCAAATTTGTTTAAAGTTTTCTTTGCAGTATCTACATTTTATATGTGTCACTACATTGATTGAAATATGGTAATGACTTCTTACCATTTTCCTACTTTCCCATCATAG